CCCCCGATGTTGTGTGGGGCACTGTCCGCAGGCCTCTGGCTCCCCAAAGCCCGATGGCTGTGCTGCCCTCGGACCTACTCTGGCGACGGAGCCTTGGCCTGGATGAATCGGAATCTCGGCTCCTGTGAGGCGTTCATCAGGCCTCAAGGCAGGCGCCCTTTCCTCCAAGGCGCAGTGACCAAGAGGAAACGCACCAAGAACACAGCAGGCTGGGACGGTTTTGTCTCCAAACACTGACAGAGACAGGGTGCTGCCAACCTGGGGGACAGCAAGGGCAGCAGCCACAGCACGAAACCAAGACAGGATGAACCTCTCCACGCCCCGGCCCTGACTAAACACACTTCATCCCCAACCCCCAACGTGGAAACGGAGTGTGCTGACACGCTGCTCTTAGAACCGTGGTGAGTTTAAAGAAATCTGCCAAGTGCAGCTAGAGCCCATCAGCGAATCAACAAGCACAAAGGGAAGCTTAAGTCGTTTTAAGGACGATTAACAATAGAGAATTAATAACCCATTTAATCTGATTGTCATCTGCAGAAAGTGAGGACTGCCGCTCCAAATTTATCTTAAAACCATGGCCAGGTAAGGCAAAACACAGATTTTTATCCCTTGCAAGTAACTTCCTTGAAGCTTCGAAGTGACCCTTCTCCCTTCCTTTACTGCTCTTCTGCATAAGCACCCCATTTTTCCCGTATATTCATTTATACCATGAAGTTTGAAGTCTTGTCTAGTTGACTATTGTGTATTTACATAGCTAATGTAATTATCAGTAATCACATAATTACTGGAAATGTGGATAATTGCCTGATCCAAACATATAATTATAATGTATAGCAACATTATGAATCCCATTTTTAAAATCCACTTTTTGGGGCTATTCAGGGATATTTATTACAAATGATTGCAGAGTACTTATATTATAGATGGCAGGCTTCAACACACTTTCTTTATAAAGTGTTCTAAAAAAACAAAACAGGAATGATTTTATATTGCATTTTTTAAAAAGAGAGGTAAAGCCAAATAGCACACACATGATGATTGTGGCCCAGGTCTGCAGACGATGCTCTTCCAATGGGAAATATAGGCGAACCCGTCCGCACTGTGGGCTCCGATGGGTGTGAGCCAGGCAACGAAGGCCCCGATCCCATCAGTGCAGCCACCTCGGAGGCCTAGAAGCTCTCAGACATCTTTGCTTCTGGAACATTCTGGGACCACAAATGAACTTTCTTGGTGGGACGTTCCACTGAGAGATACTGTCACCACGACCAGCTCAACACTGGGGGAAAAGTTTTCTTCCACCTCATCTCTGTAGCCTTTTCTCTCTGACACTTCCTGTCCTTGGTGACAAAGTCGACATAGAAAAAGAGTCCCAGAGTTTATACCATCTATGTGCACAACAGTTACCAGCTGGTCTCCATTCTCCCCACGTCCATCCAGCCAGCCCACCGTTCTCACCTCCTCTGAGTCTCTGTGCTCGTAAGAACAGCTCAGTAATGAAGAATGTTGAATATGATTGTTTATTTAAAAAGAGGTTCATATCATTGCTTTTTTTTTTTTTCTTTCTTCCTGCAGAGGGCAGGAAAAGTCCTCTCCTGAATTCTGTTATGAAGGGGGCTTATCACAGCTCAGCTGATATAATCCTTTGGACCATTTTTCCATGTACATAAGACATTCGAACAAAATGAAGTAAAATGAAATCTCTACTTTTTTCCACATTATATTCTCAATAGCCACAGGAAAGGATGGTGTTTAGTGATTTATTCCACCATAACCCACAATAAGATGTTCTAACAAAAAGTCATCAGCACAGCCATTGTGGTATATTACAGCTCTACAAACGCAGGGCTTTACTGAGTTCCTTTCGCAATGCTGAGTGATAGCAAGCCCTCTTTCTCTGACTGACAAATATTTGGGGCAAGTCAAACCAGCTCTGCCACAATGCAGTAAAATGTATTAAAATTCTGACGGGTGCAATTCACAAATGCCATGTCAATTATGCCAGCAAACAAACTAAGCAGAGGCGAAAACCAAGACCTAACTTATACATCAAAAAGAGGATCCTGCAATCTGGCTCTGACCGGTCTATTAGCAGACCCCGCTCCAAAATAATTCTCACACAACAGCACTCTAAGATGGTTTGATATTAGGCAACACAAAAGAGCAGAGAACAAATGACACATGAAAATACAAGGAAGGGTTGCTTTAAAAAAAATTAAAATCTGGCTTTTAAGTCGGCTTGCAAGACCATTATTCCAACTGATTTGGATGGCATCCCAAAGACTTTGGCTGTTGAGAAAAGCAAAGCTATATACTCTGTACTGTGCTTCAATCTCCAGAAGAAAAGTCCCAGGGGTTGAAGGCGTAGCCCGAGTCAGATTCTGGGCAGACAAAGAGGAACAGAGCTCCACCCTGTCTTCCCTGGGCTCCGAGGCACAGAGGGAAGAGCAATTCGGAAGGCGAGGAGGAGGGCACCCTGGGGACTGGTGTGGAGGCCTCAGGGAGGAAGGGGCTGGCCCTTCCTTGGAAGGCAGGTAGGGATTCTGGAAGCAGTACCTGTGAGGGTGATGCTCCGATTCCAGGCTGGCTGGAAAAGGGTTCATTCAAGAGAGTGAGGGGGACCACGGACTGTCAGGGGCTTGCCTGGCACGGAACCCCACAGCCAGGGCTTCGCAGGGGCTGTGCAGCAGGTGGGAGGGAAGAATTTGAAAGAGTTTGTGTTCCTAGAGACCAAGAGCAAGACAAAGATCCTCCGCTCCGCGCCCAGAGCAGCTCCAGGGCAGTGCAGCTCCACGCTTTCAATCATCCCATCAAAAACAATGATACCAGAAGTCATAGGGATGGGGCGTGGGTGCTGGGAAGGAGACAGTCATCTGTGGACTTCCACAGAGAAAGTTCAAGAGCAGTTAGTTCACAGTCAGGCATGTGGATGTCTAAGACCTTCAGGAAGAAATAACCAAATAAAGAACAGCAGACTGCCTGGGGTCCTGGGCACACCTGGCAAATGGGCGCCACCTGCACCGACCTACAGAAGGTGCTACATCAGCTTGTAAATGCGAGAAGCGCCACACTTATCATGGCAGTTATGCTTATTAAACAAATGTTTGTGATCACGGGTTTTAAGTTACACCTGAGGAACTAATTTCGGGTGTCTATGTTAGAACCTATATTAACTGCTACCGTCTCAGGAACGCTATTCCTGGATAAAGGTGATACTGAAAGTTCTGTTATAAAAAACGGGAGGGCATGAACCACCCTTGGGAGGACAGGGTCTGAAACAACCATGAACGGTTTTGCCCTCGCCAACAGCCCTGGTAACAGTGAGGAACGGTCACTGGTCCTTCAACCCCATTCTCTCCTCCAATGTGGCTCCTCCGGATAAATGCTGGGGTGGCATCAGCCCACAGGCATTCCTGGCACTAACCTTGCAACGTTGATCCACTAGGGCTTTCCAGAACAGAGGACTCAGTAACTAAAACGAAGCCCCTTTCCACTGCAGAGTAAAAGTAAATTTAAAAAAATTCCCACACAAGCAGATGAACCCAGATGACGGGACATTGTACCAACCAACTGGCCTGGGCTCTTTCACAACGTCAATGCTTTTCAAAGTGAAAAAAGGCCAGGGAATTATTTTGGACTAAGGAGACCAAAGCGATGTGACAAACTACATGTGATGTGTGTCCCTCGGAGGTTTCTACATAGGGAAGCAAACTGGCTAAACACGGGAGCGCAGGGGACACGTGAGTATGCCGTCTGTACTAGACAGTATTGATTGTAACGAGGTGCAGTTCCCTCGGGGGTGATGATGCTGTTATGGTTATGTGGGGGAAGGGTCCTAAAAGGAGATATATGCCAGAGGTACGTCAGAGTCTATCACTGCACCTACAACCTTCTTCCAGGTGGCTCTGGAAAAGTCCATCCATCCATCCCCCCACCCACACGTGGTAGTATATATCTATGTAGCTACAAAAAAAAAGGAAGCCTGTGTCCACTGTACTATTCTATCTTGCTGTACGTTTGAAACTTTTTAAATGTTTATTTAAAACAAACCCTGAAATGCTACCCCCCTTCCCCTGCAGCCCAGCTCAGGAGTGTGGGGACAGCCAGGGCTCTTGCATTCTTGTAGCACACAGCAGAAAGCAGCTTTGATGTCTCCACCCCACGTGGCTTGGGCCACATCGACTTAAAGAACAAACGACTCCATATGGACAGCTTGTGGGATACGCATTCCTGTCCCCAAATTAGCAGGCCAACCAGTGTAGCAGCGCATGCAGGGGCCTCGAGGAGGCTCCCCTCCATCACCTCTGTGACAAATCCTGCCGTGAAGTCACCAGGCCACACTGAGCCCCACTGAGCCCAGCGCCACAGCATGGAGGCCCACGTGAGGAGCCCTTCACTCAAAGCCCAGGTCCCCCTGCGCTGGATTTCTTACCAGTCCCTAATTAGGAGAGGATGGTGCTTAATCAACATTTTAGAGTGTTGTCCCCAGGTTTCCATTAGATTTTAATTATGTTTATTTTCCCTTTCATGAATAAAACACTTCCAGACATTTTCAAAGATACCAGGAATGTGAACACAACACAAGGGGCAATGCTGAGCTCTTCAGGAATTATCCTGGAATTCACCCTTGTAAATACCTTAATTCGAAACAGAGCAAGTCCGGATGTCAGGAAGCAAAAACAAGATGGTCCTAATATACAGCGTCTTTCATATGCAAAATGATCTTAGGTAAGTGGAAAAAAAGGGCCTTGGTTGGGGCCTGCTCCCCTCCCCAACTTTCCTCCTAGCCCCACCCCTACCCCGGAAGCCAGGCCTTGTCCTGTGAAGGTCAGGCCTACCCACCATGAGGCAGCGGCACTGGCAGAGAGGCCTTGGCTGGAGGGTGGGGGTATGGCTCACACAATCAGAACAGGGAACCAGTTCCCGACAGGTGGGCGGGTCAAGGATTCCAGGGCGAGGCTACGTGTCTTTGGTTAGAAACCGCCAATCACGCTGGCTCTTACCTTCACAAATTCTGTCCAATCGCTGTCGCTTGACTTTGTGCTTATCCACAAGGGCCATTCTTTATCGAACTTTGCAACTCTCTGATTCAAAAGGCAAAGCGGTCCTCTAAGAACTTAGGGGAACTCGCAGGAGTCTGCGGGCATTACGCCACTATGAACCCTGAAACAAGGAGAAAAGAATCCTTACTCTCTGGACACCCTGGGGGCACAGGACAACAGGTCATTCAGGACTTTGCTGCCACTTTCTACAAGGGGACCTGCCATCTGGCCACTTGCTGTCCTCCCTCAAACACTGGGCGATGGAGCTGCTCCAAGCCCGGGTCCATTGTCCCAATCTCCTGCCTGTCTTGTAACAGGAGGCAAGTGAACACCACCACGACGGTTGTCATTTGTTTCTGCAAGCGCTAAACGGCAGCATCTGGACTTCTTGCGTTTAACTCCAGGGCTGTAAACACCAATTACCAGCCAACCTGAATCGTAACAATTTGTACTCCACTGCCAGAGACCAAGCCACAGCCGGCTGGGCCTGCCCTGTATTTCTGTGACCCACAGAGGGCAGAGCCACAAGGGGGTAGCTCTCCCAGGCCAGCGGGACCACCGGGGACAGCTCCCAGGTGCACCTGCAGGAGGATGCAGACACCTGGCTGGGCCTACAGGAGAGCTCGCTGGGGTCTCCCACCAGGTGGCTTACACAATTTTCCAAAACTGCCCCTCGGGGGTCAGGAAGCCACGCACCACCTAACCAACGCGTGCCCAATGCCGCCTCCCCTGTATGTGGAGGGAGCCAAAGATGGCACTGGTAAGGGCGATGTCTGGGCCGCTAGCTTGGACACTGGCGAGTGACAATTATGCCCGTGCCTGTCCCACACCCATGCTGCTTCAGGCAAATAGCGGAGGCAGAAGAGGAAGAGAGGGAGGGGCTCCCATGTGGGGTGGGGTATATGGGACTCTTCAGAGGGAAACCCAAATGCCACCTGAGGACGGGGGCAAGGCTGCCCGGCTGCCGGAAGCAGTTCAGGGGTGTGTGTTTTGGGACTCTGCCCCCATTTCCTGTCATCAATGTACCAGCTGAGGCCACAAATCATTACCTGCAACCCTCAACGTCCTAGCTTTTGAGTCATTGCTGCAGTCTTATTTTAACCATACACACACACACACACACACACACACACACACACACACACACACACACACAGAGCGTTGTCCTCAGTTATCCAGCAAATTGGGGTGGGGGGTTGGAGACAAAAGTGAGGCTCCGGGGTTACCGATGTGGACTATTGTGTAGAGTCATCAATTATGCAAAACGACGGGAGTTATTCTATCACGGGTCAGACTGCAGGTCTGACGATGGAAAGGTAGGTGACTTCCTGGTAGTTAATGGCTAATTTCCCAGCAATGAGGTTGAAAAAGTACCCCAAAGATTTATGGGCAATAATTACATGACTCTCTTTAAATGTGGTAGGCAAAAGCACAATTTCTAATCACATAAATAATTAATGCAACATCCAAGAGAGATACCAAACCCTTTCCAAACCTGGTAAGTTCCCCGCACCTGGGATGCTCATACTGGATGAGCGAGAGGAAGGGTATCCTAAAGCCAGCGGGGTCCCCACCTGGAAGATATGGGCGGACGGAGGTGTGGTGGACATTTTTTAAATTCTGGTGTTGCTTTCACTGGACTTTATGAAAGGCAACCATGCAAAGGGCCAGGGGGCGGGCTGGGGGGCCCTAACTCTGGCCAACTTGAGAATTAGAGAGTAACAGACAGAGGGCAGCGCCTCTGGACCCTGCGGCATCTGTGCCTCTGAGATCAAGGAGGCGGGCCCAGTGCTCGGCTGGCAGTTTCCATTTGCTCAGGTCCCGGGCTCTGATCATCAAACTGCAGCGTGGCGCTCCTCGACTGCCGTGAAGCCAGAACCCCACTTCAGCCAACTTATCAGAGGGGTGAGAGAATTAATTAATTAATTATTTGTGAAGTGCCTTAGAGATGAAAAATGACAGCATTATCATCTGAGGCAAGATGGGTTTCACACCCTCCTCCAATTCCCGGGTGAGGCGTAATCATTCTTTTTGCTTTCCTTTGAATTTTAATTTGTATAATTAGATGGCTTCCTGAAAAATTGATAAGTAGAATCTCGATTTCGCAATCAAAGGAAATCAAGCATCAGCTTACGCAAATTGTCTGTGTCCTATTATTTAAAAACATTTTTTTAAAAAAAGCAACTGACTTCGGTGTCTGGCTTTTTGGTGGGTTGGGGGGGGGACACTCTCCATGGCTGGCCCTTCCGTGGGGTCCCCTCCAGCTGTGGCACCCACCCACGTTTCAGACTGCCATGTTGGCAGTGAATTCACAGTCGCAAGACCACCAGGCTGAGTCCGGTCTGAACTTGACAGCAGTGACTGATTCACGGAGCTTCAATGGCCTCCCCACAATATTTCTTTTGAAGCAAGACTGTATGAAATGTGACATTTCCGTCCACCGAAGGAGCAAGCTGTTTACAAGGACTTAATTAACATAACCCTCTTCCAGATGACAGGAACAGGCCCTCCTCAGAGTGGAGTCTTGGGCTGCTATCCACGAGGGGAACGCCAGCCCGGCACACCCACACCAGCCCGGGCGCCTCTGGCAGCGCCTGCTACGAAAGCCAATCTGCCTTTACTTCATACGAGTCTCCACTCAGAAACCATGAACTTTGTTTGCCGCTGAATTTATCACCACTATCATCAACAGACACCGTGTGGTCAATGTTTAAAAACAAATAAAGATTCACACGGGGAGAAAAAAGGGGAATGTGTTACACTCTCCCCCCTTTTGCTGAAACTGTGATCCAGTTAAACCACCGTAGTGGGTGGTGCTGCAGGTGAGACGAAGAGTTCTAGAACCTACTTGCGGAATGGCCGTGGATAAGCAGGTGCCCCGTCTGTAGAGCAGGGGTCACGCTACTAGGTTCCAACATGGTCGTGAGGATCTGATGAGAACACGCACGTGAAGAGAGCAGGACACGCCACCCCACAATGTGTCACTTGGGCATGTGGATTATTTTGAGCTGAAAGCAAGCAGGACCCAGCAGACTCAGGGAAAACTTCTACCTCTCCCTTCATTACCTAAACAAATTTAGACAGAGAGCCTGGCCCAGAAAGAGGGCTATTACCAGAGAGAACCTTTTATACGGGTGCCCTGCCTGTGTGGCGGGCAAACCTCTGCTCTTCCTCCTGTCCTGGGAATCACCGTCCTGCCCCAGAAGCCCCTGTCCCTTCCTTAGCTCAGGATGGCACGGAAGCCTCCACTGCCCCATTTGCCCTTACATCTTTGGGGCTCCCATATGTATGAAATTAAATTTTTTTCCCTCCTGTTCACCTGTCTTATATCAATTAAATCATTAGACCAGCTGAAGATCCTAGAAGGGAAGAAGGGGAATTTTTCCTCCCTAACACGTGAAAACATCTGATGCGGAGCAGCAGGCCTCGAGAGCCTTCCTGTGGCGAGCTCCCCCATTGGACACAGGCCCCCCTGTAGACTGTCCTTCCCTCCGGCGTAGGCTGGAAGGTCAACCTCAGCGAAACGCAGGAAAGGTCACAGACAAGCCAGGTCTTTTCATAAATAGGAACAGTGCACCAGTGCCAAACCTTACCAAAAACCAAACCAAACACCGTCTCCTCTCTGAACAGAAATCACAGGACCAACCATTTAAAGGTCTGTGTTTTATTAGCTTGAGATGAGTTTGGTGTCAGGGAACTCAACTTATCTCAGGAGAGGAAAGATGCCTGGACAGAAAGGCGTTTGGAGGTTCTTGTTGATCTACTAGAACCAAGCTACAGGTACGGAAGGTTTGCCCCATGTGGGTTTCAAAGGGAAACATGAGACTTAAGAAAAGATGGAACAAAAAGGAAGAAAAACACTTCATTTTTACAACCACTTGGTTGGATTATCAAACAGAAACACTCGAAAGCAAGGACAAGAGAGAAATGGGAGGTTTCCCCTCATCCAACAAGGTCTAAAACCCAAGCACATTAATTTTTACTAAATGGGACCATTAGCAGCCCCGCCTACAGGGGCCAAACCACTAAAGTGCACACACAGAACCCAGTCCTCACTCCTGCACCTTCTTAAAATCTCAAATAAGTTTTTAGGGCTCCCCCAGTTTTTTATTCTAGTTCCTAGGCTTCATAAAGATTGGGCAGATGAAGAAATTTACACCAAGTAATTGATGTCTTTCAAAAAGGAAAAAAATTCTTCTAAAACAAGTTAAACATGATGACTCAAGCCTTCAATTCTTTCAAGGAAATCCACTTAAACATTATGTTAACAAAGAGAGACCAAACTTGACGACGTGCTAACGAATTAATATTATCACAGTTAAGCAAGCACTGCCAGTTCTCGGGTGAACCCCCAGAGTCCTCAGAATACACGTCATTGTTAAACCTGCCAGAAGGCAGGTGTGAGGTTTGGGAGGTTCAGGTGCAACACAGAAGGCTCCGGGCAGCACTGGGCACAGGTTCTCCCCCTTTTCTAGGCCTGGGACCCCTACAGGCCTGGGACCCCTACATGGATGACACCATTCCCGGGGGCTCCTGCACCAGCCTGTAAGGCTCTTCCGATGTGTCAACAGGCTCATTCACCAACCTGTGGGTGACAAAGCAGGGTGGCACCCTGTCCAGGCTAAGGTGACAGCGAGTAGCTGCTGGCACAGGCAGGACCCTGCGGGTGGGGGGCCATCTAGCACATCTACAGGGTCAGCGGGTCTTAGCACCGGCTGGAGAACGCTGGCCCGCCGATGACCACTGCCCAGAAAATCCTGACTGGCCTCAAATAAAGCCACAGGCCTCCCGGTTACCTCAAAAGAACCCATTCCAGAACCTTCGGGAAGCCAAACAGGAACAAATTTTTCCCTTAGAAGACAGCTGCTCAGAATCCTCTGAACAGCTGACCTGGGTTTTGTTTTGTAAACTGCACCTAAAGAACCAAATCAAAATCTAGATACAACAAAATACACATTCTACAGGGGTCAGGGGTCAGTGGGGAAAATGCGGGCCTGGGCTTTGGCCACAGAGTCGACATAACACCACCGTTAGTAACGAAATTATTAGAACTGCACTTTAAGAAAACTTGGAGGGATGAAGCTTTTGTAGGCAATGAGCTACGGAAGTCAATTCTGCAAA